GCCGTGGGCAGGGGGCGGAGCGGGGACTCCAGGGCCGGGGGCCGGCAGGTCTCGTCAGGGACGCCAGTGGCCTCCGAGTCGCCCATGGCGCTGCCGCCCCTGAGCAGCTCCTGGTAGAAGTCCTTGTTCAGGTGGCTGGCGGCGGCCTCCAGCTCTTCGTCCTCGGGGTCCTCGTCGCCAAATGCACTGGACGTCGCGTCCTCGGTGGAACCTAGGGGCAGGGGAGCCACACACCTTGTGACGGGACCGAGGGCCAGGGCGTGAGTGATGGGCACAAGAATGCCCAGGAAGCCCGCCTGTCTGCGGTGGAGGGATGGGCCTGGAGTGTCTCAGAGGACCGGGCCTCGGCCACCTCATGCCTGTGCACCAGGGGCCGGAGGCGCAGCAGCCTCAACATGCAGCACTCCGAGAAGCCAAGCTGCGGGCTCCTGTATCCCCATGCAGAGACCTCCCGACACGCCAGGGCACGGCCCCCACGGCCCGGCTGCCTGAGCCACGGGGCGCACGGGGAGCGGCTCCACCGCCGGCCGTGGAGAAGGAGCCCTTGCGTGGACGGAGGCTGCAGCATGGGGCGGCGTGAGAGCCAGATGCAGGCGCCCTGGGGGGTGGTTGTGCTTGCTGCCTTGGGCCGGGCCGGGCAGGTCTCAGACACAGTGCTAAAGCAGAGTCCGTGAGACCTTGCTGAGGCGGAATTTCAAAAGGCAAGAACTTCTGGGGTTTTTTTTGAAAGTCATATAAAACATGAGACCCACCCACAGACTCCAGTGGGCCTTGGGCCTAGAACACGTGGAGGACTCTCCGTCCAGTAAGGACCGACTACAGCACGACGGAAGGCCCGAGGAGGATGCAGCGGAGCCGCTCACCGCCATGGGCACAGGCGGCACCAAGGGGCTCCCCCGGGAGCAGGAACTGAGCCGAGCCCGCCGCGGCCTGACTCCTGCCTCACTGCCGGGAGGCTGCCGCTCCAAGGAGCCTGCTGCACGGCCAAGGAAGACCGGGATCCTGCACAGGCAGGGAAGGCGGCAAAGCCTGGCACTGCAGATGCCACGTTTCTGGGACGCCAACGGCCTCCCTGGGAAGAGCCCAGAAGACGGAGCTCTGCGGAGGAGACGACAGACAGAGCACCACTAGAGGTGGACAGACCAAATGCACCCCAGCACACGGCTCGGCACAGTGCTGTGGGGCCAGGCCAGGGACGCGAGAACACGGCACCTTAAAGCTGGCCTGACTCCGTAAGGGGCCCCACTTTGTTTCATGTGAACTTGCTTCTTCTGCGAACGCGAGCATCAGAGGGACGGGGGAGAGGCAGCACCCTCAGCCCCACAGTCCGTCCCGGCTCCAGCCGGCCCTGAGTCCAAAGCACGTGCATTCCCAGGACCCTCAGGGGGCCTCAGGATCCGAACAGGAACCTCCAAGTGGGCCGGGCCCGCAGGGTCTCCTGTCTCACTGCCACGGTGCCATCTGGCCCCAGGACCACGGTGTGCTGACAACATGACTAATTACTGGGGAAGCCCGACAGCACGGCCACACCGGAGTGAAGCAGGGCTGCTTGTGAGCACAGGGCTGGGGCGGCGCGCAGGGAGGCTGGGCTCAGCACAGACAAGCCCGGGCCAGGGACACCTGCAGGGGGCTGGGGGCTCAGGGCAGACAGGCACACCTGAGAGTCCGCGTCAGAGCACCCGCGGCCTGGCTGCCGTGACTGCGAGGAGGGGCTCTCTCCTTCCCCGGCTTCCACGCAGACCGAGCAGCAGCACACGGACCTGGACCGGATCCAGGGGGACCTCAGGCCCAGGGACAGAGGCAGGTAGTCACAGGAACAGAGGACAGACCTGCATCCCGCCCTGGGACAGCTCCATGCAGGCCATGGCACTCAGGGTGGAGAAGCCTGGCGCCCTCCCTCACTGAGGGCATGCAGCCCAGCGGGGCACAGAGCACCTTCGGGAGGCCAGAGCAGCTCTGCAGGCCCAGGCTGCACAGCAGGTGCACAGGCCGGGCAGGGCTGAGCACCACCGGGAGGCCCGCACCTGCAGAGGCTAATGAGAGGGGATCCTGCGGGGCTGGGCTCGAGAGGCACAACCTTAGCCTCGGAGAAGTCAGTGGGATGGCATGGGGGAGGGGTGTGCTTGGGGACAACCTATGTCCAAACAGCAGCTAGGCACTGAGCATGGCACATGGGGACCAGAGGTGGCCCACAGCCTGGCTAGGAGCATGTGGTTTGTAGGGGGGATGGCAGGAGAACCGGGCGGCAGTTGCAGTTGTGGGGATGCGGGAAGGCCGCCCAGAGCCCCGCAGCCGGGAGGCAGGGGCCAGACTCACCGTCTTTCAGGCCAGGGAGGGGCCCTTTGGCCCTCGGCCGGCTATTCTCCAGCTCGATCTCGATCTCGTCCTGGTAACTGGAGATCTCCCCTGGAGCAGGACGTCCCAGCAGTCAGTGCGAAGCCCACCCTCCGGAGCGCCCAGGCACCTGTCAGGGAGAGCGTCCGGCTACCTTCCACTTCCTCTAGCTGTTTTGACAAGACTTGTTCAAGCTGCAAGAGAAGGGGGTGAGGACGTCCAGTAAGAGCAGCCCCGGGCCTGCATGCACAGCCTCCCCGACACCCTGTGGGCACCAGGCCCTGGGCAGGCCTTCCAGGCACACAGCAAGGGCTGCCCCAGGGAGGGCAGCACCTCTGAGGCCTGGGCCACCTGCTGTGTGGGAGCCTCCGGGGCCCTGGCTGGGGACCTGCTCAGGACACCTCGGGCTGGGGCTACAGTTCCGAGCTCCACTCCCAAGCAGGCCCTGGGGGCAGGATAGGCGGACATGGTCGGTGTGTGGCCAGCAAGCGTCCCCCAGGACTCCGGTCACCCCCACAAGCAGCAAGTTCCCAGACTGAACGACAGAGACATGCCTTCAGCAGCGCCTCTGGGTGACAGGGAGGGCGCTTGGGCTTTTATGATTCTGGCAAATTCTAAAAGCAGGATCTACTTTGTTTTCTGGTAAAAGCAGAACCAAAGCACTCCAGGTGCGGGCCCGCTGGAGAGCAAAACCTGGTGCCAGAAGGTCCCCCCCGCCCTGCCCCTCCAGGCCGGGCCAAGCTAACCCCCGTGCCTCCAGCTGTCTGCCGCCCTGACAGCACTGCTCTGAGACGGGGCGGCCTCCATAGCTAAAGCCCTCGCCGGGAGTGACAGCCGAGAGCGTGCGCATCACAAACGGAGACGGGGGTGGCGCTGCCTGGCCACGCTACCTGCTTCATCCGCTGCTTCTTCTGGCCAGCTGTGTACGACGGGGGGACGCACTCCTCCTCCAGGTCGATCCTCATGAACTCCTCGATGGTCAGTTGCAGGACGTCCCAGCAGTCAGTGCGAAGCCCACCCTCCGGAGCGCCCAGGCACCTGTCAGGGAGAGCGTCCGGCTACCTTCCACTTCCTCTAGCTGTTTTGACAAGACTTGTTCAAGCTGCAAGAGAAGGGGGTGAGGACGTCCAGTAAGAGCAGCCCCGGGCCTGCATGCACAGCCTCCCCGACACCCTGTGGGCACCAGGCCCTGGGCAGGCCTTCCAGGCACACAGCAAGGGCTGCCCCAGGGAGGGCAGCACCTCTGAGGCCTGGGCCACCTGCTGTGTGGGAGCCTCCGGGGCCCTGGCTGGGGGCCTGCTCAGGACACCTCGGGCTGGGGCTACAGTTCCGAGCTCCACTCCCAAGCAGGCCCTGGGGGCAGGATAGGCGGACATGGTCGGTGTGTGGCCAGCAAGCGTCCCCCAGGACTCCGGTCACCCCCACAAGCAGCAAGTTCCCAGACTGAACGACAGAGACATGCCTTCAGCAGCGCCTCTGGGTGACAGGGAGGGCGCTTGGGCTTTTATGATTCTGGCAAATTCTAAAAGCAGGATCTACTTTGTTTTCTGGTAAAAGCAGAACCAAAGCACTCCAGGTGCGGGCCCGCTGGAGAGCAAAACCTGGTGCCAGAAGGTCCCCCCCGCCCTGCCCCTCCAGGCCGGGCCAAGCTAACCCCCGTGCCTCCAGCTGTCTGCCGCCCTGACAGCACTGCTCTGAGACGGGGCGGCCTCCATAGCTAAAGCCCTCGCCGGGAGTGGCAGCCGAGAGCGTGCGCATCACAAACGGAGACGGGGGTGGCGCTGCCTGGCCTCGCTACCTGCTTCATCCGCTGCTTCTTCTGGCCAGCTGTGTACGACGGGGGGTCGCACTCCTCCTCCAGGTCGATCCTCATGAACTCCTCGATGGTCAGTTGGCTGGTGGGGGTGTCCTCAAACTCTGTGAGCCTGACGCGGAGGAGGAAGGAAGCATTTAAAATCTAGCCCACGGCGTGTGTGTCCCACACGCCTGCCTCCGCAGCTCAAGTCCCAGACCCAGCAACTTGAGGAGCGTGCCGGGCTCGTGTGCAGAGTAACCCGGGAAGAGAACAGATGGGGCTGTGGTGTGGCCATCCCCCGGAGGGTGATTTCTCACTTTCCTTCTCTTTTTCCTCTCTCTCCCTCTCTCTCTGGCAAGTGCACATGCCCTACAGCAAAGCTGAATTAAAAAAAAAGCTGAACTCACACGGGATCTGGTTCTGGTCACCCCTGTCACCCAACAAGGCAAACAAGCTGTGAGGGACGCTGCAGCAGCCTGCGCCCCACACCTGCGAGCTCGCGGCGCCCCACGGTCACACAGCGCCACGGCGGCCTCACTTTGACCCCACTGCTCTCAGTGTCCAGGATGGACTGTACCAGACGGGAGACAGGAGGCCTGCCATGGACACGCTGGACTCTGCCATCTGCCTGGCTCCCAAGTGGCCTCGGCTGGGTGCCCGCACTGATTACCCGCCTTAACTCAGACAGGAGCGCCAGGGCTCCCCCAGGCAGGCCTGCCACCCGGCCACTCCCCAGAGGTGGCTGCCCCAAGGTCAAGGACAGGAAGCTGGGCTGGTCCCTTAGCCCTTTCCCTAGGACCCGTGAAGGAAAGGGGACAAAAGGAAGTCCGAAGGGCCTGGGGCAGGGCAGGCCTGGGGCAGGGCAGGCCTGGGACAGGCGGACATGCCCCAGAGGAAGGCAGGCAGCCCAGCCGCTTGTCCGAGCCGTGTGGCCAGGGCACGGCACCAGAGTGGCCACCTACCTCTTGCGCAGTGTGGACTCACACACTTTGACCACACTGACCACCTCCTTGACAGTTCTCCGGAAGTCATGCATCCTGGCTGCTACTAGAAGTGCTGAAAAGGAACAGAAGCTCCGTGGGACTGGGCCGCTCCAGGGAACGAGGAACCGCGTGCACTCAGAGACAGGCGCCCACCATCCATGGACAGACACGCTGCACGGGACCCTGGCAGTGTTGTCCTCTGCGGGCACGGAGGCTCCACCGCGGTTCTGTCCATAAAGACGGGGGGTCTAACCAAGGACTGTGTGTGAGCTCCGGTCACCCCAGGGCACACAGCCTAACTTCCAGGGGACACGTGAGACACTGGGTGTGATGGGAGCTGAGGCCCGAGAGGCCTAGTGGGGAGAAGGCAGATCCAAGGGTGTCAACCATGGCCTGGGAATGAGGCTTCCAGGTGGAGCTGGACCCGGGCAACGTGACCTACTGTGAGCTGAGCACCAGCTATGCTGGAAATAGGGACCAGAGGAGGGAGGGGCCTGGGACTGAGGGTGGACAGGCTGCGTCCAGGGAAGCCCAGGCTCAGGGGACTGTAGGGAGCTACAACCCAGAGGGTCTGCAAGTTCGACCAGAACAGCTGCCCTGCAAGGGCCATAGGAGCAGGCCTGAGAGCCCTGGGCGCCCTCTGCAGCCATGGCTGGCATCCCAGACAAAAGGCCACGTCATAAACTGCACTAGGAGTGGACACGCCGACCACAGGCAGGCCTGCCAGTCGGACACTCCCCAGAGGTGGCTTCCCCAAGGTCAAGACAGGAAGCCCAGCTAAATCCGGAGGCTCTGATGGGCCC